AGTACACATGCGTCTGTACCGTCAAGTCGTTTCAACTTTCTTGCTTTGCTTTTAGCATTTTCGTTGCTTCCCATTTAAAGAACCAAAAACTTGAATTCAACAGAATTGAAACGTGTAAAAGCAAATAGAAAACACAAAGGAGAATGAGCAAGAATTGCTTTCAAGTACTTGAATCATGTAAATCGGGTGTAACTATAAGAATAAAAGTCAGCGCGTTCACGCCTCGGCACCCACGTCACTGTTGACATTCATAATTTCGAAAAAGTAGAGAATTCCCATTACTATGAAACGAACATTAGCACCGATAACAATGTCCGTCTCGAAATCCAACGTCAACAAGTGCTACTTTGGACTGAGTAGGCCCGTGCTTATATATGGCGTAGAAACATGGACAATGAAAACATTCGATGAGGCGGCCCTTGGCCTTATGCGTTGGCGACGACGAGTACCGCAGACGGTGGAAACGCAAAAACAAGAATTCACGACTTTAAAAGTCGAATTTATTTCCTTAATTTCATACAAAAAATCCTGGTCGAGACTTAATTGAATTGCATATGTTTATTAAAAAAAAAAAAACATAAAACATAATTTTGGGTCATATTCCAAAATTAAGTACACTTTTAATATTTATTTCAATTTATATTTAAAAATCATATATTTATAACTTCTAATTTGAATTCGTATAATAATAGTATAGTAAAAATAAGTTAATGGTAAAAAAATATTTTCCAAATATCTCAACTCCTGCATTAGCGCTATTGGCAACCTTTGTTGTGGAATTACTTCTTTTCATGTAGGTAATATCATCAGGTCATTAGTAATGACTCATTATATACAATATTTACACCTCAATATTTTTTTGGGGTGAAATATATTTTTTTTTACATTCTTTATCGAAAAAAGGAAGACACCTATTATTTTTCATAAAAAAAAANATGTTGATACCTTAGCTGATTTTCTCCGACAAATAGTTTATTAACTGCAGACAATTAAAAGAAGATACTTCTCCGTGAGTTCAAAATTTCGGGAGCTTTTGTTCGAGATTTTCGAATATCATGACAAAATAAAAAAATAGGTGTCTTCTTTTTTTCGATAAAGAATGTAAAAAAATATGTTTCACCCCAAAAAAAATATTGAGGTGTAAATATTGTATGGAATTACCCATATATTCTAAATATAAACTAAATCAGACCATAGATGCAGGTTTTCGATTTATATCGACTCCGCGCCACCTAACGGTAATTTTTTTTATGGAGTTATTTACTTCCATGTAGATAATATAAATTTCAAATATAAACCAAATCGGACCATATCTCGAGTAATGCACCACCTAGCTGATTTATTCATCCTTCATATTAAATACATATGTACATATATTGTTCTGAACTAAGTATGAAGTTTCATGCCTCTAACTCATCGGTAACTTGGTTAAATATTGAGCAAGATTTGACCCAAACAAACATACTTACACATATCGGTACATACTTACATACATAGAAAGCAAGTTAAATAAAAGCTTATAATAAGAATTATTTTTATTCATTTTGTCATGAAAGTCAAAATAGCCATAATCTCTCAGTTTTAGAATAAAAATGAAAAGTATTAACGGTATTCATTTTAACTCTGAAAATTATTAAACTGTTAAATTTTCACTTTTACCCGTGATGTATGTTATATACTACTGGTAAATTAATTGAACTTAAAACACACAAATATATTAGGAAGGAATTTACACTTTGACCTCCAAACCGTCCGATATTTAAACTGTTTTTGTATGCAAAGTTGTGAAACATTGCAGCCATACACACATTGCATATTTTTAATATTCACTATAACCATGAGCAACATCTCGGTATTCCACATTTTTAAAACACCAATCGCCATCAAAAACAAACTAAGCTTTTTTTATCAGCCTTATCTATTTCGAACGATAGACCGACGGACGATTTGTCTACTGACGTCATCGTTTTTCGTTGGCATTTTGTAACTCTATCGTTCGTCTTCGTCATGCTTTACGACAATTACGTTGATATCGTCTCGGTTAAAAAGAAACCGGCTAGAATGTTTTTGTCGGCCTTATTTTAGAAGCATTCGTCTCCAGACGAATCGTTTGTCCGGTGTATCGTTCGAAATACATAGATAATAAGGAAGAATTTCCAATAAATTTTAATAGTCGGTTTACGTGGTGATAAACGTATACAGTTAACGAATTTACATGAATTTTAAACGCTAAGATGTATATTCTTACAAACATTTATTTTCTAAATAAAATAAATCATTTTATTTTTTATAAAAAATATTTCATAAACACATACATATGTGGCAATTTCTATAATAAAAGCTATATACGTTTTGATCTTCGATTTACATACTATACACTTAAACTACGTACATATGTGTACAGTACAACTAATTTCTTTCAGATATCTTGTCATCTTGCCCGCATAAAGCTGTGTCGTTGACAACCATCTTAATGATCGGAAGCTTTTAGTAGCGAAGGTATAAAAGCTCGTGCAGCTGTTCATTGGCATTTAGTCAATTGTTCGCGCCGGAATTTTTCCATTTTTTTGAGGTTGGTTGGTTGTGCTTCGTATTTAGCTTTGCAATTGCTTTTACATTTTCTTGTTGTTAACTTCCAGGATATTTTAAGATTTTTGCACTAATTAATCTAATCCAAAATGCCGGTGCCCGACGTCTTACTCAACAATGGAAAAACGATTCCCATTCTCGGTCTTGGTACTTGGGGCGTAAGTATAAGAATACTTTATATGTGCATGTATTTGTGCAATAAAAGTATTTATTTTAATTTATATGTTTAGTAATTTGTGTGGCAGCGAATTCACTATCGTGGCATTGAGTTGATAAATAAGCACATGGTGCTTGAACGGGTGGGTGGGGCTGTTTCCCTCATTTCAACTAGGGAAGTTTGTTTAAAATTATAGCCGGACATTGCAGTTGCGAATTACATGCATACATACTTATCTGCGTATGGACATACATATATACATGCATGTCTTAATGTACATATGTACATACAGTGACTCAAACAAATGACCACCTGTTGATTTTCTTCAAATATTCGTAATGTTTTTCGAGCTAAATAATATAAATAATGGAATCCATTTTTTTGGGTATGCAGTTTTATAGCGCATACAATTTTAGTATAATGAAGTGCAAGATTCAAACGGCTAAAAAATTGCGTTGATTTTTCAGATTTTTTTTTGCGACGGATTTTTGCACATTTTTTCATATAAGTATGAATTTCTTATGAAATAAAACGCGGACGACCGTCAGCAACGAAATTTCAAAATATCGACGAAAGTTTTTGTAAATTGCGCTTGTTATATGAAGAAACCCGAAAAAGTAGCCTCCAAAAAAAATTTTGTTGAATTTTTAGATTTCTGTGATACACGGTTTTGGTTAAAACTAAGATGATATTTTTATATAAAAATAACAAAAAAAAAAAAAATTTAGCTTGAAAAACATTACTAATATTTGAAGGAAATCAACACGTGGTCATTTATTTTACAGGAGAAGCAAAAAACTTAATAAAATGAGTATCAAAAACAGGTAGGGCTTTTTAAAAAGTGGCATGTACGCCGTTGTTTTTGGTACTAACATTTTAAAATTTTTATCGCAGGTATATTTGAATACATCCTACCGAAATCTGTGAAAAACGCAGTTTCGAAAAAAATACTGGTTAGGGCCTTTGTAAATTAAGGTAAAACCATTAGTTTCGAATAAGATTCCAATTTTGTATAACAAAAAATAATTGAAATATTAAAAACAATAAAATTATTCCCAATATCGCCTGAAGCGATAAGAAAACGACTCGCCCAGGCGAGTTGCCTTCGGCGGACGTTTTAGAGCTACAAGTGTATGTACGTTAGGGCGGGTGAACTTTTTCGACTATGCGCGTATAGCACAGGAAGATTGTACGTGTAATTGTAAGCAAATTTGCCGAAGAAACCATAGGTCTAAAATCAATTTAGAGTTTTCCAAATTACGAAAACAGGTTTCATAGCATTTTACTAAGAGTTTTTTTTGTTAATTGGGACGTGAATGAGTTTTTTGTGCACAGAAATAAAAATACCTTTCTACCGATATCCTATAGGTCTAAATCGAAGTAGTTTTGGCCCAGTTATTCAAGTTTTTCGTAAATCAGTCTTTGAAAAACGTTAAAAAACAACATCCAAAAATGTCATTATTATGATTCTGTTGGAACGGTTTTTAAATATTTTCATATAAATTTTTTAAGCTTAATATGTTTTGTCATCTGAGGGGATTTTGTTTTCAAAATGTTCTTTGAGAAACCATTTTTATTCATAAAATACTAAATTTTTTTAGGAATTTTCAAATCGGTCCAGCTCACGTAAATCTTAATATTTTACCGAAATATTTTGGTGGACGTCTTCAAACATAATAAATTTTGTAACCCCGACGGAAAACCAGCAACTTCTTTTGGTGATGCAGTCTAATGTACATACATATGTACATATGTTCATAAATACATTTCAACATTGACTGTATTTTTATTGAAACCTAAATTTTATAAACATATTTACATACATATCTACTAGTATGTTCATAATTGATAATCATTATTATTGTTAATACATATCGAGCTCTAACCGCCAAAATAACGTAAGCGATATTTTTTTCAAAATTTTCTTTTTGATGCAGAAATATTCCTAGAGCTTCTAGATGCATTTCTGCATCAAAAATAAAATTTTGAAAAAATTGTCGCTTACGTTATTTTGGCGGTCAGGGCTCGATATGTATGTATGTATGTATATTCTTAATGATAGTAAAATATAGCATGGAAAACAATAATTACACTAAGTAACAAAAAAAAAAAATTTCTCAGTCCTTGGGATGTAATTGTTATTTCCTAGTCTGTTATGCCTTAAAAGTATGGAAACCACCTAATATTCCTCGGAAACTTTGCTTTTGTGACCAGGACAATGTGATTCATTAAAATATGCTAAAATTATGAGAAAAACGTGTTTGAGTCTTTCACTACAGAGAAAATCATACAGAACAGCACATATAAATCAAAACTAAATTTTATTAAAACTTCAGAAAACCAAAAACATAAAAGTAAATCAGAAGCGGGTGGTTTTTCGACATTTGCGTTTAAACTGAAAAAAAAAGCAAAGTTATCTTGCGACAATAGCTGTTTTCTATACTTTTGGGACCTAACTGACTAGGAAATAACAATTACAACCCAGGGACAAAAACCTGTTACATAGTGTTATCTAAACATGTACATACATACATATGTAGGGATGTCTACATCTTGCATAGTACTTTAAATGGCGATTTTTTTATATTAACCAAATCTAAATCTAAATCACGCGAACAATGAGTTAGCAACGTTCGAGTGTTCCTTAAACGAACATATATGTATGTACTTAGATATGTATATGTACATACATATGTATTTAGTATGTACTACATACATTAGTACATATTCAAAGTCGCATTTAAAGTTGAAAGTTAGTTGAGTTAAAAAGTTGGTTATAAAAATTATTTGTAAGATGTTTGAAAATTGTTGATTATTTACAAACATATTTATTTCCGGATTTATGGAATGGTTTTCGTGGTTCTTACGCATTTATATTTATTAATCTTAAAAAAAAAAAACAGTTTAAAATTGTCATTCAATTATTGCACGTAAATTCATACTCATTGGTCATGTTTGGGCATGTGTACATACATACGTCATTCTGATGTCAACTTAATAAATTTAGAACTAATAAAAGCGACCAATATGGGAGGCGGGTTATCAGTAACTTCCACCCTTATTAATTATATGTGACAGATATGTAGAATATACATATGTACGTGTAATTACATATTTACGTACATAGTATAATCTAACGTATATTTTTATTATGCTTATGTGCTTACCTATGTAGATATGTAAATATGAAAATTATTTTAATTTAAACCACATAGTACGCTAAGTAAAGAATCTACTCTAGCTCATATTTCATGATTTATTTTCGGTTAGGCTTTCTTATCAAAAATTCAACTCTCGAATGTGTAGTTAGACCTTGCATCATATGTCTAATTTTTCACTCTATGCGATTTGATATTTTGTGCAATTTTTTGCAATTCATTTCACAAGCTTACTGTAAATTTAGCACAATTTCGTTATGATTTCGTATGTACATACATATGTCATCTGCATTCATGTATCATCCGCTTATCTGATAAAACATATCGCCGTTTAAAGTACAAAACCGCGTATCGTCATTCTGCAAAACCGCGTAACTGACATTGGCTGTCAAAAATTGGATTTGCTCACAGCTGCTGTATATTAATATAGAAAGGATCTGTATATAATTCTGTGGTCATAAGAAATAACCGCCTAAGTCGAAAAAACTGAATTTGAAATTGGTTTTTGTTGTTTATTCATCTTATGATTCATATATTCATAGTACTATGATATTGCCACAACTAAGGGATGTGTCCAACCTTTTCAAGCTGAGAAGTAACAGATTCGTTGCCACGACAGTCGGGTTTACATAACCGGAACGACCCAGATTTATATTTGGCCAAGGACTGTCACTCCAGCGACACTCCCCAAAAACTCGTTGGGGAGCTTGTATGCTGCTACAACAACAGCAACAACAAAACTGAATTCGAGATAAAACGTTTTCAACAGTTGGATTGCAATGTTAACCTTATAGGAAACCAAAATATGTTCGTCTATAACTTTTTAAATATCCTAGATGGCGAAATGGGGATTTCACACACACATGGAATAGTGGTTGCAGAATACGATAGCATATATAACTCAATTTTTTCTTAAGTCGACTTAGGCGGTTATTGCTTATGACCATAGAATATTTATTTGTTTACAAAGTTATTAAAAAACTTAGCAAAACTTCCAATTTTTTAGTTGCGAATATCTTTAAATTACTGATTTAGACTGACGACTATAATGGAATAAATGCTTTAGTACTTTTAGTTGTTTTGGAATTGCATTAGATTTTCGTTGAGTAATCTACCGACATTTGTACAAACCTTAAGAATACCCTAACTACATATTGTCGGTGATACTGCAAAACGTTCTATGTCACTTTTTACCTCTAATGCTTAATTGATCTGTTATCTGTATCTGATCGCTTCTGGCAATCGCTTACCTTCATCAGCCAAAAGTAGACAGTTTTGTCATTCGTTTATGAGGGTGTAACGATGTGCAGATGCATTCCAGTGCAAGCGGGAGACCATTTAAGTGTCACGGGTACTAATATACATAGACCGTTTTGCAGTATCACCGACGATATGTACTTATAACATGTATAATTTAAAATTCATAAAACTATAATACGGCCATTAATATAGAAATAAATACATTAATATTTAACAGAGTCCTAAAGGAGAAGTCGTTCAAGCCGTAAAAGACGCCATCGACATTGGTTATCGCCATATTGACTGCGCTCATGTATACCAGAATGAGGATGAAGTCGGTGAGGGTATTGAAGCCAAAATAGCAGAGGGTGTTGTGAAACGGTAGCTATATCTTTTGACAAAAAGCATAACATCCCCTTTTATATTTTTTTCTTTAACTTGCAGCGAAGAATTGTTTATTACTAGCAAATTGTGGAATACCTTCCACAGTCCCGCATTAGTACGTGGAGCTCTTGAAACCACCTTGAAGAATTTACGTCTGGATTACCTTGATTTGTATTTAATCCATTGGCCTATGGGCTACAAAGAGGGCGGACCATTGTTCCCAAATGATGATCTTGGTAAAATAGCGTACTCTGATGTTGATTATGTTGATACCTGGAAGGAAATGGAAAAACTTGTAGAGGCCGGCCTTGTAAAGTCCATAGGTGTGTCGAATTTCAACAAGCGGCAAATTGAACGCGTGCTTGAGGTCGCTGCCATTCCACCAGTAACCAACCAAATTGAGTGTCATCCTTATTTGACCCAAAAAAAGTTGATTGAATTCTGCAAGTCAAAGAATATTGCTATTACTGCTTACAGTCCTTTGGGATCACCTAACCGTCCTTGGGCAAAACCCGATGACCCAGTTTTATTACAAGACGCTAAAGTAAGTATTTTACTCGTGTTAAAAATAAAAAGATATGACTTATAAAAATTTTGTTGTTTGCTAGATCGTCGCAATTGCTGATAAGTATGGCAAGACTTCAGCTCAAATTCTGATTCGCTATCAGCTGCAACTTGGTAACATTGTCATTCCTAAGTCTGTGACGAAAAGTCGTATTGCGTCCAACTTTGACGTGTTCAACTTCGAATTAAGTGCAGAGGATATTGCCACTATAGATAGCTTCAACTGCAATGGCCGTTTCGTGCCTTTAGATAAGTGAGTCAAGTTCAAACAGTCATTCTTAATGTGAATGGAATAATTAAATAATGGTTTACTTTTTTAACTTTTGCAAACAGTGATGCTGCACATCAGCATTATCCATTTAATGATGAGTTCTAAGGTTTCAAAATTTCGCGAGAATCGAGTATTATACAACTATTGCTGGTGCTCATTTTGGGGCATCTAACTAAATATTGCGACTATCAATTAGTTTTGTGTTTTTAACACATTCAGTATCTTATCAGTAAGTTTACTGCCCAGAAATAATGATCCCGACCATTCGATTTTGTTGCTAAAGCTTGCCTTTTTTTGCTTTTATTACTTCCTGCGCTTTTTTTACTATTTGGTGATTGCTAATATTCACTTGTATATTTTCTTTCTATTATTTTGACGTAACAGTATTACTAAGTTTATGTGCAACTGCGTAACAACTGCTTGCTTGTTGTAACTAAAAAATTTAATAAGTGTTACTGATTTTGATAACCACATAATGTTACTGCTTTTAATAACCATTTTCACTACTTCCAGCCATCGTACACATCCGCACCACCCATTCGCCAACGATGAGTACTAGAAAATATGACGGAGACTTTTTGAAATAATGAATCGGAATAAACCTCAAACAATTATGTATTATTATGGATGTATGTACAGAATTGAATTAACAAATACACTGGAATTTACAATATAAACGGTGGAAAGTTAAAGGAAAAACTATTTGCATCGTTTTAGTGTTTCTATCAAATAGTTTTATTCCTAACAAAGTTTTCATTCGGTCAATGTCCCCGCCGAACTTTCAGCCAATNTGTTTTAGTTTTTTTTTTTAAGTTTTATACCTAACAAAGTTTTCATTCGGTCAATGTCCCCGCCGAACTTTCAGCCAATATTTTCAGTTAGTCAAATGGCATTTGTTAAAAAAAAAAATAACCGTATACCTTCGTAAGCATACTTAGCTGTCAGAGTTAAGCTGGATTTAGTTGTACGGCTTCTTTATATTATGCATGCATATAGGTAGATAGATTGTCGTTGCGTCTTAAGCCTCGGGCTAACCCGCTGTCGATTAAAAATAAAAAAAAATAAAAATTGTGCAAACGCATCTTCTCACACTTTTCTAAAGGCATGCATGTATGCAAGTAAAGTACTTTTAAATCACTTATATACATTTTAAANTACCCTCGGGCTCATCCGCTGTCGATTATAAATAAAAAAAAAATAAAAATTGTGCAAACGCATCTTCTCACACTTTTCTAAAGGTATGCATGTATGCAAGTAAAGTACTTTTAAATCACTTATATACATTTTAAAAGCTGTTAATTTCAACTAAAAGCACTGATTTCGAATGGTGCTAGAAATTTACATGTGTAATAGCCCAATCATATCTATGCACCAACCGATCTCAGTTCTTTCAACTTGAATTTTATTCACAGTATTAAGGTATCCTTGTTAATTGTTTGGTAGGTATTTTTAAATTTTAGTGTTTTTAACCCGATAGTCGTTGCCTTGCTACGAGTGTGACCATACTACGACAACTGCTCAGTGAAGAATTAAAGCCTGAGCTTAAATGTGTTAAACCTGTTACAGCTGAGATGCGCCTAACAATGGAATATGTAACCGAATGAGTCAACATACATTTGCAGTATTGTAATAATGTGCTTGCCATGATTTGATTGGAGCATCTTGAGTTACTCTTAGTCTAACAATTTGCATTCCAACTATTTCTTCATTTTTAGCACATGTGTGTACACATGTATATCAGTAAATATGTATGTATGTTTACTGTAGTTGGATAAGAAGCCAAGCTGATTGTAACCCATGTGCATTTTGCCTATTGTCTAGCATTTTAGCATCACTTAAGTGGATATATGTACATAGTATCTACGTGTATCCTTGTATATGTTTCTGTTTCTTTTTAAATGTAAACTAATATCTCCTATATGCGACTGTTCCAGTTCTTTTGTTTGATTTTTGCATCTGCATACATACATNCGCCTATTGTCTAGCATTAGCATCACTTAAGTGGATATATGTATGCACATAGTATCTACGTGTATCCTTGTATATGTTTCTGTTTCTTTTTAAATGTAAACTAATATCTCCTATTTGCGACTGTTCCAGTTCTTTTGTTTGATTTTTGCATCTGCATACATACATACATCTCTATATAGTTAGACTGGCACTTCACAAATTGTGTTGTGTGACAGATGACGAACGGAGCGATGCCCCTCCACCGCTTGGCAGACGGTACATACAAAGTAAGATCAGTAGATTTTCCTTAGCTCAAACCTTTTGAGCCTGGTTACACAATTTCTGTTGGCTCGTTTACTGAAGATTTCTCGCTGTTTGTAATTTAATTCAAGCGTGTACCCTATGTACTAGAATACTTTGGGGTCGATTTCATCGCTTGTAGCTTTATGGTAAAAGTGTCGTGGATTGTAAAAAAAAAAACGGCATACGAAGACATTAACTGTTTTGGTAGTTACACGTGTAAAAAAACTTGAGCATACGGAATGATTGATTTATTGAGGGCTCATATTAAAAACCTGGCTTTACAAAAGTACAATGCATTACGTTCGTAAACTATTGTTGCGGCAATACGGCAACTACGTATATTCTTAAACTAATCAAGACCGCAGCGATAGCGCAAACCACTCATCTGATGCAATTAATTTAGGTGTTTCAACGTGGTAGACTGCGGAAGTAAGTCCCGCAAATTTCTGTTTAAAAGGTTATGCTTTATTAAATTTCATTAACATTTTCAGCTAGTTTGCAAAATTGGCATTTTCATTATAGAACTCTACTCATCTATAGGTACATATAATAAAATTGTAACAGAACGATGTCTGCACATTATAGATATTAAAGAAAAATTTATATGGGGGGTATTTATTTGAGCAATAGAAGCCATATCAACAAATTGTAGAATTTTTGTGTCTATCTGTCTGTATGTATGTTTGTGCGCGCATCACTTGAAAACCAATGCATAAAATTGAATCCAGTTTTCACCAACGTATTGCTAGAGGCCTAACTTAAAATATAGAAAGAAAAAACATTAGAGAGTTGCCACCTGTTTGAAAATTGCAGTTTTAGTAAATTCTTTAGATAAAGGAAATATTGCAATATGGTTGTCAAAAGAAGAGGTCTAAGAAGACTTAGCCGAAAATATTTTTGTGAAGGTTGCCACATGTTTGAAAATTTTAATATAATTTAATTGATAAGATAAATTAAACTGAGGAGGTTTAGGAAAGTTTACTTACGAAAATATTTTTTAGGAGGATTGCCATCTGTTTGAAAACTTGTATTTAATAAAATTGATAAAATAAATGAAATATTACAATACGGGTATCAAACAACACAAAGGCGCAGTGAAGCTCGCCGGGTATTTGCTAGTCTTGAATAAAAATTCGACTTCTTAAACAATAAAAAATGTTACCAATTCAACTGATTTATGATATCAAGTCGGATTTGCAAATCAGTTGTGATAACGTAGCACTGCAATGCAAACTTTTGTTTAAAAAGATAGCAGTTTTAATAAAAATTTAGCTTCTGAAATTAAAATTCGATGATTTTATTGCTAACCATATAAATAACTTAGTAGAACTTACTATTGCAAAGTCAGAATTAACAGTGGCGACAGTTACGACCCAAATTGATTCTAACATCAGAAACTGGATTTTACGACTTGCAGATTTTGAGCCTTCTAATATGGTGAACCACTATTTTAATACATTTTCCGCCCGATATTTACTCGCTTATCAATGAAAAATTATATGTACATACATGTGTGCGTACTTCAAACTTCTCTTGAAGAAATCAGTAGCTCAAATGACACACTTTANGGTCTAAGAAGACTTAGCCGAAAATATTTTTGTGAAGGTTGCCACATGTTTGAAAATTTTAATATAATTTAATTGATAAGATAAATTAAACTGAGAAACTGGAAAGTTTACTTACGAAAATATGTTTTAGGAGGATTGCCATCAGTTTGAAAACTTGTATTTAATAAAATTGATAAAATAAATGAAATATTACAATACAGGAATCAAACAACACAAAGGCACAGTGAAGCTCGCCAGGTATTTGCTAGTCTTGAATAAAAATTCGCCTTCTTAAACAATAAAAAATGTTACCAATTTAACTGATGTATGATATCCAGTCGGATTTGCAAATCAGTTGTGATAACGTAGCACTGCAATGCAAACTTTTGTTTAAAAATATAGCAATTTTCATAAAAATTTAGCTTCTGAAATAAAAATTCGATGATTTTATTGCTAACCATATAAATAACTTAGTAGAATTTACTATTGCAAAGTCAGAATTAACAATGGTGACAGTTACGACCCAAATTGGTTCTAACATCAGAAACTAGATTTTACGACTTGGAGATTTTGAGCCTTCTAATATGGTGAACCACTATTTGAATGCATTTTCCGCCCGATATTTACTCGCTTATCAATCAAAAATTATATGTACATACATGTGTGAGTACTTCAAACTTCTCTTGAAGAAATCAGTAGCTCAAATGACACACTTTACCACATTCTGTAAATTTGTAGTAGGTGAAGGAAGTGTATAAACATATTTTTCTCAATGTAACCGTTTCTTGCATAAATTGTCATCTTGGAAGTGGCAGCATTATTGTGATATTAGTTACAGTTGGTATAACAGATCAAATTGGAGAAAGCAGAATAGCGGGCCACTGTTGCTGTGTTGTGGTGATGTGTTCGAATACAGTCATAACTCATTTGATTATTTATAGGAAGNTGTGGGCAGCATTATTTTGATATTAATTACAGTTGGTATAACAGATCAAATTGGAGAAAGCAGAATAGCGGGCCACTGTTGCTGTGTTGTGGTGATGTGTTCGAATACAGTCATAACTCATTTGATTATTTATAGGAAGTAGAAAACTGTATTTAGTTACAAGAAGCAGGCACAAGAATTCAAAAAATGGAAACAGCTATACTTAGTAAATTTACGCTAATGTGCGTAGAGTAAAAAAAATGGGCTGTAAACTGAGGACAGACTGCAATAAGTAAAAACAAAAGTAGACTTCAACAGCTTTATGACGGCTTCGAACAATATGTATACGCATGTATGTACATATGTCTATGCGTATACATATCGTCGATGTTTTTGCAAAACCGCTTAAATCGCCGTTGTGGCAAATCATTAAAACAACAGATTTGTAAAATAATAACTAGAGAAAATACCGCCTATCAAAGCAAATTGAGTGCCGTAAGATAAGCGGTTTTGCAAAAATTTCGACGATATGTATGTACATACATACATATATAATAATAATAATAAGAGATTGGCGCTTACACAATATGTTAGTGTATGGCCGAGCTTCTCCTCCAATTTGTGACGTGCAAAGGGGAGGGACCTACAGTTTTACGCCGACTCCAAACGGCGATTGTGTTTTTATGAGAAGTTGCTTTTCAAGGCCGGAATACACTCGGAAGTTTGCCATTGCCTGCCGAGGCGCGACCGCTATTAAAAAAAATTGTTTCTTTTCGTTTATTTTTGATGTTATTCGGAAACTGGGTTCGATCTCAGGCCCTTCGGAATGGTTGTGCGCACTATTAACCACTACATCATAAACTTGTAGAACGTGATTTTTTTTTTTGTGAAGAGAGCGCTTTGCTTTCAATTGCCCATTGTAGCACCTTTTTGGAAGAGTATATGCAACACATGCTCAGTTCTACATATTATTTATA